ACACGGGAATAGTTGAGTCTCAGCAACAGCAGCATCAAGCTCATCAGACTCTTCTGGCTGCTGCAGGACACTTGACAAATCCGACATCTGGAATCAAGCTATCAGCTAGCGCTGCCAGTTCAAGCGTGTTTACACCGTCTCCTGCCACTGTGACACTGAGGCCTGGCCTATGCGCTTCATCAAACATTTTGCTTACATCGTCGATGACGACAGCATCCACAAATACAACCACAACAACAGAAGCTCAGACCTCCAATATTTTTCGTGGCAGTAGCAGTAGCAATAACATTGGAATCACAACACTTTTTCCTTCGACTTCAGGCTCCGGAGCTACTTCAACTTCTGGGAAAGGTCAGGTAATCGGATTGCTTGATCCACGAACAGGGCTTCAGCTACGTCTTACCGATACAAGCACAATCACTTTATCCGGGGCATCTGCCTCAAATCCGACATCAACTCAGCACCAACATTCTTCACCTCAGACACCTCAACCACCACTATCCTCAACGGCCGCAGCTGCGGCAGCGGCGGCAGCTGCAGCTGGTCTGCTCCCTCCAGGGGCTAGAGAGATGCTGATAAACGGGATTCTTGCTCCAGCCGGCTCCTTGGGCTCTCTCTCAGCAAGTGGTCTTCTGCCAGCAGCCCTCCAAACTGTTGCCGCTAGTCATCTCACTCTAACTGGTTTAGGCTTCGAAGGCAAGTTCACAAATATATATCATGTTTATCGCTACTCTACTTCTCTCGCTCTACGGAATTACTACTTCTTAATCGAAATAAAATAAATAATTAAATGCCAGCAAATTAGCAACAGATTTCTAGCCAGACTTGAAGTCCCATTAAAATCACCAAAGCAGAATCCCTATTCCTCTTATGAGAATGGTCTTTTCAGCATACAGTCGAACGAAGTTAAAATCAGTCCAACAACAATAAATAGGAAATTTAGCTAAAATCTTGTTGACTTCCTAGATCTTAAGGTTAAGAACCAGCTTGTATAATTATTTTTATGCAAATATAGAGATATTACAGTTTCGACCTCATCCCTGTCTTCTCACTACCTCCAGCTGAACTTTGACCGAGTAAGACAACGCAATGTCAACAATTTAACCACTACGCCATACTGCCATGGGTGCCTTTGAGCCACAGGGGAAAAGTAAATTTTCATGGAGCCTAGACCTCCCGCATTACATTTTTATGGTGGAATTGTTGGCGAAGAAAAGTTGTATTGAGTATAGTATTTTCTGTTTAGAATGTGATAGGATGAATGCATCTCATAAATATGTTCTACTGGTAGTCTCCTGCTTTTAAACGAAGAATAAGTAATCTAGTTTAATGCTATAGCAATTTTGTTTCATTGATAATCCCACCACAGAATGTGATACGGGAAAATGCATAACTCTCCTTGAAATTCACGTTTGTCCTGTGACTAAAGGACGTAGTGGTTAAGGTTTCGAGATTATACGCTGCGCTGTCATGGTTAGAATCCCGCTGGGGTTACTTTTGAGGCCTTGGTGTGTTCGAAACTACAGTCTGTCCTGGATGAGATTACCTTTTGGTCAGCAAGGCTGTGATATTTATTGTAAACATGAGGCCCTCATATCATTGCTGGAAGGTTCAAGTACCGATCCTTTATCACCTTGAGCAAAATAGGGTGAATGCATTGATGTGTTTTCATTTATTTGCAATCATTAACGGATAATAGTTTCCCCTAATCTTTCCCTCTACCACTATCTAAATTTGTATCGTTCCATGCCTATTTCATTCCACACTCACCCATTTCCTTCTGCCTATCCCGTGTTCTACTTCTTAATCTGCTTGTTTAGGTCTTTCCGCCAATATGTCACTTGATGGAAACGGTTCAGGAGGACTCTCGAGGCATTCACACGACATTGACATATTTGAGCCCGGCCTAGCTCGTCTGCTACCCGTTGTCTCAACAGCATCTGATGATCTGCTCGTTGATGAGGCCATTCGTTTATCGTCAAGCGGAACTATACGTCTGGTTCCAACCATTGCTTCGACCGCCACAACCGTGACTACACCCAGCCATACTCATACCCATGCGCACCCGCACACTCACCTTCACGCTCACACATCCACGACCACACCCTCATTGACTACATCTGGCGATTCAACTTGTCAAAATAG